CGAAATGGGTCGTGCAGTGGAGTTGGCCTAACTGGCCTTCGAATGACACGGTCTTCTCCCTCGTTGGTCCCCGTGGCGCCTTGATACGTCTCCAACGTATCTATAATTTTTGATTGCTCCATGCTATATTATCTACTGTTTTGGACTATATTGGGCTTTATTTTCTACTTTTATATTATTTTTGGGACTAACCTATTAACCGGAGGCCCAGCCCAGAATTGCTGTTTTTTTGCCTATTTCAGTGTTTCGAAGAAACGGAATATCAAACGGAATGAAACCTTCGGGAAAATAATTTTCTCACCGAACGTGATCCAGGAGACTTGGACCCTACGCCAAGGTATCAGAGAGGCGGTCACGAGGGTGGGGGCGCCCCCTAGGGCGCGCCCCCCTGCCTCGTGGGCCCCTCAGAGCTCCACCGACGTACTCCTTCCTCCTATATATACCTACGTACCCCCAAACGATCAGAACATGAGCCAAAAACCTAATTCCACCGCCGCACCTTTCTGTATCCATGAGATCCCATCTTGGGGCATGTTCCGGAGCTCCACCGGAGAGGGCCGTCATCACGGAGGGCTTCTACATCATCATAGCCTCTCCGATGAAGTGTGAGTAGTTTACCTCAGACCTTTGGGTCCATAGTTAGTAGCTAGATGGCTTCTTCTCTCTTTTTGGATCTCAATACAAAGTTCTCCCCCTCTCTTGTGGAGATCTATTCGATGTAATCTTCTTTTTGCGGTGTGTTTGTTGAGGCCGATGAATTGTGGGTTTATGATCAAGTCTATCTATGAATAATATTTGAATCTTCTCTGAATTCTTTTATGTATGATTGGTTATCTTTGCAAGTCTCTTCGAATTATCCGTTTGGTTTGGCCAACTAGATTGGTAGTTCTTGCCATGGAAGAAGTGCTTAGCTTTGGGTTTGATCTTGCGGTGTCCTTTCCCAGTGATAGAAGGGGCATCAAGGCACGTATTGCATCGTTGCCATCGAGGATAACAAGATAGGGTTTATTTCATATTGCATGAATTTATCTCTCTACACCATGTCATCTTGCTTAAAGCGTTACTCTGTTTTTAACTTAATACTCTAGATGCATGCTGGATAGCGGTCGATGAGTGGAGTAATAGTAGTAGATGCAGAATCATTTCGGTCTACTTATCACGGACGTGATGCCTATATACATGATCATGCGTAGATATTCTCATAACTATACTCAATTCTGTCAATTGCTCAACAGTAATTTGTTCACCCACCATAGAATACTTATGCTCTTGAGAGAAGCCACTAGTGAAACCTATGGCCCCCGGGTCTATTCTCATCATATCAATTTCCATCACTTTAATCTTGCTTTGCTTTTTACTTTGCTTTTACTTTTCACTTTGCATCTTTATACCAAAAATACCAAAAATATTTTATCTATCAGATCCCACTCTCGTAAGTGACCGTGAAGGGATTGACAACCCCTAATCGCATTGATTGCGAGTAGCTATCGTTTTGTGCAGGTACGAGGGACTTGAGCGTGGCCTCCTACTGGATTGATACCTTGATTCTCAAAAACTGAGGAAAATACTTACGCTACTCTGCTGCATCATCCCTTCCTCTTTAGGAAAACCAACGCAAGCTCAAGAGGTAGCACGCCTTCCTTTGGCTGCCATGGCAGCGTTTCCTGGAGGCGTCACTGGTTTTGCTGCCATGGCCGCGGTCTTGCCTCCCGCTGCGGTGGCACCATTTGGGACGCTGACACTCATGCTGTGAGGAACGATGTACAACCATATTGAATTGACATGTGCTCGCCTTGGCGAATAAGAGCATTGTTCAGTCATGAAATGCATATGTAGGTAAACTCCAGAAACCCAAATACTGTTAGCAGCAAGCCATGCCTGTGATGGTGGCGACTGGTGTAAGTGCACGGTCGAGTCCATAGTGTGTGTGTGTGTGTGCGTGAGAGGCACGGGGGTGCGCGTGTGTGCGTAACCCAGTTCATAGGACCAGGGCCAAGCCGTTGGCGTAGTGTACGGGGTGCTCGTGTGCGTTCCGTTGGAGACATGCCGTGAACTGCGTGCGTTGGAGCACGTCGTGGTCACGCGCGAGGCGAGCGGATCGCGGGCGCGAGGGAGAGGGAGCGTGGGTACGTGCCCGGGCGCTGGCTCTGGGTATAAGACCCCGCACATTGCTCGTTGTAATGGTGTGGTGTGGGTGTGGTGCCCAAGTTCGAGCTTGAGGGAAACGTCCGTCGTTGCGGCCGCGGCGTTCGTGCGCCGGCAAAGTCCACTGTCCACCTGTGTCTTCTTCTTCCTTCCTTCTTCTACTTCGGTTCGCATCACAGAGCGAGAGAGAGCGAGAGGTAGGCGAGAGCTAGGGCTAGACGGCAACAACAATTGGCATCAGAGCGACCAGGTTCGAGGGGCGGCTGTGGCGTGCGGCGACGTCCACGGCGCGCGCGGCGAGCGCGGCAGACATGGAGGCATCAGCTGCGGTGCGCGACGATGCAGTGTGATGCCGTGCGTGCGACGAGCAGCGGCGGTCGCGGAGACGAGGAGGTCGCGGAAGACTTGCGTGGTGGCGCAGAGGCTACGGCGGCTCGGCGCGACGACCGTGGAGGTGTTGCGCTGCGGTTGAGGCCGCAGCGGTGCAGGGAAATAAGCTGCAGCGGCGAGCCGGGCGTGACCGGTGCGTGTTATGGGTGCGCACTGGGTGCGTCGGGCACATCGGGACCGCGGGCGCGTGTACGGGCGTGCCGATCTTCGGGGGAGAACACGTCTAGCGGAGCGCAGAGCGGCCGCGTCAATCACGTCAGTGCGTGATCGTGTGCGAGCCGGGGCGTGCAAGGCGTGGCGTCATGGAGGAGCTCGGCATGCGTCGCCAAGGAGCTCGACGTGGCCGGTGGAGAAGAAGCTCGGCGTGCGATCATCAAGAAAGAACATGGAGGCAGCGTCAAGCCTTGGTGTGGCTGCTGGGAAGCGTGGTGGAGGCCGTAACGGTGGCCATGGCGCGACATCGACGACAAGCCTGACATGTGCAAGGGTCATGACTTGGGACGTGAATGTTAGCAGCAAGCCATGCCCGTGATGGTGGCGACTGGTGTAAGTGCATGGTCGAGTTCATAGTGTGTGTGCGTGAGAGGCACGGGAGTGCGCGTGTGTGCGTGACCCAGTGCATAGGACCAGGGCCAAGCCGTTGGCGTAGTGTGCGGGGTGCTCGCGTGCGTTCCGTTGGAGACCTGCCGTGAACTGCGTGCGTTGGAGCACGTCATGGTCACGCGCGAGGCGAGCGGATCACGGGCGCGAGGGAGAGGGAGCGTGGGTACGTGCCCGGTCGCTGGCTCTGGGTACAAGACCCTGCATGGTGCTCGTTGTAATGGTGTGGTGTGGTGCTCAAGTTCGAGCTTGAGGGAAACGGCCGTCGTTGCAGCCGCGGCGTTCATGCGCCGGCAAAGTCCATTGTCCACCTGTGTCTTCTTCTTCTTCCTTTCTTCTTCTACCTCGGTTCGCATCACAGAGCAAGAGAGAGCGAGAGGTAGGCGAGAGCTAGGGCTAGACGGTAACAACAAATACAGCATTACTGCAGAAAATTGTTAGCCTAAATATTCATGTATCATTTCAACTACCTGATCTCCAATCGACCTCCCATTTCTGAAGGCTGGAAATGCATGCAGAGAATAGATACACAAATGACGCATCAGCAGAAAGTAAGAGTCTGAATTTCAAGATACGAGAGGAGAACTGGCAGTTACTGAAGCCTATGGATCCACTGTATGCGAAGGTACCATTCAGCAAATATCTGATGGCAGTGGAATTTCCATCCTTTGTGTGGAATGTGGTTGTAGCCCGCAAAGTCCAGCGACCCCTTCACCAGATTGGCCAGCTTCAGCGAAAACCTCGGCGGCCTTTCTCCGGCCCTCAATCTCGCCGTTTCCGGGTCATCGCCAAAGAAGAAAGGCAAACCTTTTGACACCACATCAGCAGTTGCAGTTTGTAGTTTAGAACCTTGCAGTTTTAGAACCTACTCCTAGCTCTGCTCTGTTCACTGTCACTGTAATTTGAAAAGACTGACAGGCTAACTCTGTTCTTGGCAATTCTTGATCAGATCAGTAAGTTACAGTTGATGGATTGGGTGAGTGAGGCTCAAATCACCACCTCAGCCTCAACATCAGCCGTGGAGTTCGGCATAGGCTAATACCATATCACATCCAACGGCATCCCCAGTTATCTGTTCTGCTTTGCATAAGTAACATTACAGCACCAAAAACACCTAGCTAATTTAGGCCAAACCTTGATCATATAGTGTTCATTTCAAACAGCATTCCAGTGTCAGGGCCACCAGGAAATTACACCAAGTTATAGAGAGCAAAACCTGAACTAAGTCAAATATATAGTTCTGACTGAAACTAAAATTGCGACTTTACACTGAAAAGGTCATACACTTTATAAAGAGAGCAAATTCGTGCTAAATGTGTGCAATTTTAGGCAACCAAGAAATAGCAAAATGGTTGCAATTTTTTTCCTTAATTATCGGTCGCTTGTTTTAGAATCTCAGCCACCTAAAATTGTAGAATACCAAGCCCAAAACTGCACTTTACGAAGACGTGCGACTTTAGGAAAATGATGGCTCATTACTTTATAGGTTAAGTTATATAGGTTGCGATTCCAAGATGACGATGGTCAGGTGTTCATCCACAAGATTTGGAAATGTGACTTGGGTTCAAGAAAAAACTAGTTCACGCAGTAATGAGCCATAGTTCTACAAGAATACAACTACTCCACTGACCACTAGTTCAAGCAGTCTTTTGTTTTTCATAGACGTCGCCTACATATCTAATGATCCTTTTGCAAAATACTTGCATTTTACCTACAGAATGCCATACCACTAGTTAGTACTACGCAGTTGACGGATGCTTGCTCTTCTGTCTGCCAGGTTCAAGCTTTTGGAGGGGAGCAGGCACCGACACACCGTGTTGCTACTTGTGGCGGCTGGGACAAAGCTTTGCAAATTAGGCAGATTATTACAGCACCATGCTGTGCTGTTGGAGCCATTCCTGAATGGCAGAACGGAGAGCGATATTGGGGATGAGCTCCTGGTGTTGAAGTGGCAAGTTGGTGAACGGCGATGTGATTTTGCCTCTACCAAACCATTCCCGGATAGAATTACCTTCGTAGGTGATTCCATCCGCTGTCAACTGAGGATCCTTCATGATTTCCTGAAATGATGACAAAAGATGATTAGTCACAAGATAAGAGAGCTACTAACATCACACGAGTGCCTAGAAATAGACGAAACAAAAGACACATTCAAGTCATTTTTAGCTTGCAAAACGATCTTATATTATGGGACAGAGGGGGTATTTATGTGCTCCTGAATAGGGAAAAAGCATAGAGTTCCTTTCTACTCACATGAGATATAGAACAGGTGAAGTGTGATGGTATGATGCTTTCCTCTGGCACCAAACTTGAAGATGACTGTGAAGATAACATTGCAACATCCCTCATGGTCTCAACTGCTGTCCAGAGCTGGCCTGAAAGAACAGGACGGTACCTGCTGTTTTGCTCAGTGCAACTGAGAGCAATGTGTGCTAACTGCTGGATGTGCACATCAGGCCACTCTCCGGCTGAGGTATCAACTACAGAATTGAGGTCACCTTGCTCCATAGCATCCTCCACAATCTTCTTTATACCAAGAGGAGGCTTTCCAGTTAAAAGGCGCAGGACTACCATTCCAAAAGAATAAACATCGGAGTGAGGTGTCATCTTGCGAGTGGCAAGACATTCTGGGTCCACGTATATAGGGGCCTCCACAGGATGGTTGGTGCTATTGCTGTTGGACTGGATTAGCAAATGAAAAATGCCAAAGTCACTAAGCTTAGTGACTAAGTTGGCATCAAGAAGAATATTGGCAGGATGAAGATCGCCATGTACAATTGGTTCAGGTCTGTTCTCGTGAAGAAAGATCAGAGCTGAACATATCTCAGCAATAATACGGATGCGGATCTGCCACGTCAGAGTTCGCCTCTTATCCTCACATGAAAGAAAATCTTCAAGACTACCATTTGGTAAGAACTCATAGACAAGCGTCAATAACTCTGTGCATGCTCCTAGCAGAGTTACTAGGTTGGGGTGTCTCACTCTACTATGGATAGCAACCTGCAACATAAATCCAAAATAAATTATTTACAACTAGTCGTTTTGGAAACACTAATTTATTCAAGTTCCAGTTTTGACTGAAAAGAAGCAAGACATCACCAACTTTTTCTAGTATGACATAGGCAAACTCTGCTAGTTCAGAGCAAGTTCAGTAGAACTACCTCTTGTTCAAACTGTGAGGGTCCTTGACCATCGTGTCTCAGCACCTTTACTGCAACTGTCATGTTCCGGAGGACACCTCGGTACACAGAGGCAACCCCACATTCTCTGAACTTCGTTGAAGTACTGAAATTTTCTGTTGCACGTTCTAGTTCAGCTAATGAAAACTGGCAGGGCATCGCTGTACTTCTCCGGTGTAAATTTCTACCTCTTCGAGTGCAGCATCTCGTTCCTTTAGCAAGACGTCATGCTTGGACTGAAGCTGATTATACCGCTCTTTGGATTCAGTGAGCTGATGTTGCAGATCCAAACTATGCTCATTGGCCTTCTGAAGTTCCTCACTATGGAACTTTTTTGATTCCAAAAGCTGATTTTGAGCATGTTCATTATGCTTATTAGCTTTTTGTAGCTCATTAGCAACCTCATCCTGTCGTGCTTTAACTTGTTGCAACTCTTGTTGTATTTTGGAAAGATGCTCCTCAGCATCTTTATGTCGTTGCACCTGATTTGCCTCTGATGTCCTGGCCTGCAGAATTCACACACTTACATTCATATTTATCTGTGATAGATGGCTTGATTAATATGCTTTCATTTGACATAAATAGCATCCAGCAGATAAGTTGTAGTAGTAAGATTGTAAGAATGGTTTAATCTAGAGAGTGCATGCATATCCAGTAGGGCTAATTTGCAAGTATGACCCTCCAGTTTAGATAAGATAGCTTTTTTCAAAAATAAATGCTTATCATTTATAATTTTTAGGACATCATGATATGAACTTACTGTTTGTTCAGATTCAATCCACCTCAAGCGCTCATCAGAAGCTTCTTTCTTGAATACTGCAACTTCTTCCATGTACTTTTTATGTTCATTAGACAAATAAATGTCTGAATGCCAATCTCTCTGTTAGGATCATTGAGAGCAAATAATTAGTGACTTGGGGTAATAAAACTCAACCAGATTGTTTGGAAGGGGTAAAGTTTAACTACTAATTAGCAGGTTTTCAATGCGCTGTGCTTCATGTACACCATAAGTATGGTTTAAGATTTCTAAGTGGTCCTTTTAAAGTTTAACTACTAATTAGAAGGTTCTCATTGCCAGTCAAAGTACAGTTTCTTTGTTTCCTGTTGCACAAGGATTACCACAGTCACGGTGAACCATCCATGCAAGAAATATGTGTGAAAAAATTAAACAGAAACAAATAATGATGGAAGAGACTGACCAAAATGTCTTCTAAATCCACAAGCCCAACGTCACCGCCTTTAGACTTCTCAATGCATGTCACACATCTAGTCCAACAAAAACAAATGTCAGTTCATGTTATAATGTCAACAAGGCAAACAGAGGACTGGAATGCTACCTCTTAAAGCCATCAATTATGATAGTACTGTTTGGATCACGCTTCAAACCCTCTATGTATGTTGCCATAGCACTTTCATAATTCTGCATCAGGGCTTGAACCTTCGCTTTACAGAGATAACCCATCAAATAAGTAGGATCCAGCTCAATACATTTTTCTGCATCTTCCAGACCTTGGGGCAGAGCTCCCAGAAAGATGTGACATTGAGCTCTGTTTCTAAACACCTGGATGGCCAATCATAAAAGTATCACTATCATCAAAGTAAAATACTACAGTAACCAGGGAGCCAATAAAAAATTATGCCCTCCGGAGCATGCCTTCCAGTCAATGATGTAAAATGTAAAACAAACAAGACAGCTCATAAATGATATGTTATGTGACTGAATTTATAATATTCAGAGGCTCATCTAACTTGAACGGAGAACCAAATTTAACGAATGAGCTAAAGGTGCCTTCAGATAGAATATATAAAGTTTAATCACGGTAAATCAAATCCTTACCGCGGGTTCATTTGGATTCTTGTTCACAGCTTCGGTATAGTGAGCTGCTGCTTCCTGATATCTTCTGGTGTAGAAGAGTTCATTGCCTGCAACATGCATAGCAGTGTACATTCAGATTCCAGAAGCATCAGATCACAATAGCAAGAGCCACACCACTAAACGGGGCTGGGTGTATCATGCTTGAAGAAAGAACATATATAGATTGCTAGCAGCTGTCCACTTCTTTGGTGAACCAATGATAGATCGAGTAGTAGTACCAATTTAGCCCCTGATTAGTCTCTCCCCTAATTATTGACTTGTTATTGTTGGAAGGAAATAGAAAAGGCGTTTGAAATCAATGAACCGGAGGGAGTACCTTTTACTAGTATTTCTTTTATTATTTTTTGGACAAAGTTGTTTGCAATTAAAATTCTGAAATTCCCAAGAACGTTTACACTCGGTGTACACTTGATGACCATGCTTTTAGTTAGAGAAATTTCTTGTTAAAATAAGGGCAAAGTAAGGATCCTGCGAGTAATAATAATAAGAAGCACCATGCAGATGTAGGCGAGACGATGCGCACTAAATCTATCTATTTGCTTATTAGTAATCGGTAGAGACTAATCGACTTCACAGATCTCTACTCCTAATGGAGCAGTTGGTAGTCTCGCTTTCAGGTTTTTTTTCGTCCCACCTACCATGGTTTTTTTTCAACCGGTTTTTTTCATCACACCATCCCCACCCCTACCCCACCCCATTCACCGCACGCAGTCAGGTTCCGTTTTCCCCCTTACGTCCCCGATTCATGCATGACAATCAATTCTTTCCAAACGCAATCATGCATGACAATCAATTCTTTCCAAACGCAATCAATTAACTTAAGGTAACCAGACACAATCAATTCAATAAAACGGAGCAATATCTCGGGCGATTTTCTTGCTCCCGATATATAATGGTGCTAGCCAATCTGTTAACAAATGAGAAGGAAACAATCACGTGTATGTAGGGAAGATAATCGTGGAGATTGCAGGGCAGTTAAGGCCGTGTGTCACATGCAGGAAGGATTTCCCGAGTTCAGCGAAAGAGAAGGAAATCTGAGTTGGTGAATAGTCTCCACGATTTATTTTCGTCTGGCTTTTTTTTGTCTGGTTTTTCTTCGTCCCACCTCCCACCACCACCCTCTCACCGGTTTTCCTCTTTTCTCGTCTAACCGGCAACACCCAATGTATTTATGGTAATCAATCACAATTAATCCACATATGGTAAGACTATAAACTCAGAAATCTCAAATATGATTATTATAGTAATAAATCAATCTAGGTATGGTAAGATCGTAACTCAGGAAATTTCGAATATGGTAATTATATGGCAATAAATCAATCCAGGTATGGTAAGGCTATAAATATAAAGGAAAACTATTCCTGTGAGACGTCTAATACATGGCTTTCGTCAGACCAGCATCTCACCAATCGTTTTGGAGCCGTGCATCCAACAACGCCTGGCTGTACTATATAACCCCTCCGAATCATCCTCACATCCACCATCAAACCCTAATCAACTACCTCGCCACCCTCTCTGCCACACCTGCCATCTGGATCCTCCTCGCTTCAACCTCGCTCTTATCGCACCACCGCATCTACGTTCGACCAGCAAGTCCTCCGGCAAGAATGCACACACCATGTCGCCTTGATGGCTAAGCATGTGCATGTGTGCTTCATGCCCCCACAACGCTCCTTGTGATCCGTTCGTCGCGCTGCATCCCCAATCTGGCCGGTGTGGCACTGTAATTTCGCCGGTGTGCAGACCTTCGTTTCCTCTGCTACTCCTCGTCAGACATTTTGTAGTTGCTGCTTGAAGTGGTATGGTCGTGCTCTGCTCGTTGAAGCCTGTAATTGGGGCTGCATGCTATAGACTCATGAGGTCCCTTTTCAATGTGGCTGCGTGGTAGCGATGCTCTCATGCGTGCTACGTCGGCTGTGCTCCAGCGGTCTTGCATTTGGCCGGGTTGAAGGATACCATATGTGTAGTTGCCACACGTGATTCAGATTTTGTTCACATTGGAAGTACAAGTGATTGTTGTTGGAAACAAATTTCCACCCTTTTGGAAGCATAATTTTCTTCGGTCAAAATGTATATGTAAAATTATTGGTATACTTTCTACCTGCAATTCAATTACCTATCAATGGTGTATCCAACATTGCTCTATTTTTCTTCCTACACATAAGAAAAATGCTTCTGTAATGTATGATGCAACTTCCACCAAATCGAGATGCTTCTACACCATTGAACAGAGTTTCGGTTACCATTTTTGTTCCGAAGCATCAAATGGTGAGCCATGAAGCTTTATTAAACATGTAAGGAAGCATGTGTCATTTTGTGTTCTTCATATCAAAGCATCAATGAATGGGCAATGAAGCAACTAAATGCCACATGGAAGGATCGCCACATGGAATTTGTTAACAGCTTATGGTAATATTATTAGTGGCATCTGCATATTTTCAATACGTATTTGAGAACCTATTTGATGCTTCCTGATTTCTATCGCATGAAAAATGCTTCCTTTGAAACAACCGGGGAGCGATTTGTTACCAGAGATAATGCTTCCATTGAAACAACCGAGGAGCGATTTGTTACTAGAAATAAAACGTGATTTATAGGATTTATTATATCCTACTAGAAATCAGGGATCAGTTTCCTAAAATGTTGGATGCGTCAACATTTGTAACTGTGCCCCTGATTAAGGAACATACTAATGCCCAAGCCACGTTTACAAGCCCATCACACGTATCGACATGAAACCCATCGTACAAGGAATCAGATTCCTAGCGCTTCCTCTTAAACAAACTTAAATTACCCCAAAGGCCGGCCAGATTAACGTACACAGAAAAATCAACACCCTATGATCTGTCATCCAATTTTTCCTCCACGGTCGGCCATCCTATTCAAGGCCCCTGATGCAATGTTCTGCCAGCAATCCATGCGCACGTCCTACCTAGCGATTGAACGGGATCAAAATCTCCCTAGCCAAACACCGGTTGCCGCTGCACTTACATACTCCGCCCACGACGCCGTCCCACCAGCGGCGGTGACGCTAGCGATCGTACCGAGACGTCGTGGGAGATGGAGCTCCAGGCCATCAAGGACTCCTACACTGGCGTGTCCAAGCCGCCTCCACGACGGAGCCAAACCGCCGTACCTATTCGGACTCAAGAACATGGTGCGCCTCGCCGGTATGGATCATCTCGCCTCCCACTTGCCAAGGTATAGCAGCCCTCTTCTTTTCCCTTTCCCAAGAACACATCGATGCACTTTTAACCTCTATAATCCATCTACCTGATGTACT